GGGCCTGGATGACAGCCACAGCCAGTTAGTTCACTCTGCAACCACCCAGCCAGCCTCCAGGCAGCGACATCCTTCCAAATAAACCATCACACCATATCACTCCCTTTCTTAAAAGGTTCAGTGGCTTTCAAACTCCCTCCATGACCAGTGAGGCCCTGCCTTCCTCCCACCTCACTTCCGGCCACCCTTGCCCTTGTCATGATGCTAAGCTCAAAGCCCTTCTTTTTGTTCCTCTAGCAGGTGAGGCTCATTCCTGCCACAGGGTCTCAGCACCTGTTGGTGCCCTCTGCCCACAAGCTGTTCTTGTACCTCTTTCAAATGGCTGGTTCCTCCTCATCGCTCAAGTCTCAGTACAAGCCCTGCCCAGGCCTCTCCCACCCCCAGTCATTCCAGCCTGTTACACGTCTTACTTCCTTTACAGCATTTATCAAAACCACAATCCCTTATTTGCTTATTTAGCGCCAGCTTTGTGGGGGCAGGGACCTTAGCTGTTGAGTTCCAGCAGTAGCTCCAACACCTAAGGAGGGCCTGGCACACAGTTGATAGTCAATCAATATTTGTTGAATGAATACATGAACTGTTGCAGAGGGAAGCGTCCAAGGTCCATAATTAAATGCGGCAAGGGCAGAAGAGTGTGTATGGGACGATTCCTCCCACCTGGGGAAATGGGGATGTGACACTGCACTGCACAGGGACTTGCCCCGGCTCAGACACTCCCCAGGATCTCACAGGAAACCGCTAACACCGTCTCTGATGTGCAGAGAGGGTCTTCCCACATCATCTTCAGCCCTTCTGTACCATCTGTGTATGTATTTTTTAACCATGAATATGTACTACTTTTGTAACTAAAAAGAATTAAATCAGAAAAATAAATCAATGGGTTCTTTTATCTATAGGATTTTGAAAAAGTTTTCCAAATGATCTCTCGGACCCAAGGTGAGAACATCCCAGTGATGTTAAGAGTTCAGTCATTTGTGACCTGTCACAGATGCAGACAGGAGGCAGGGGTCCCTGTAAGGACCACTGGGGCTGGACTCATGCTGACGCCACTCCACGCCCCTATTTACTGCCAGGGGAGGGGCACAGGCACTCACCACGGACGACATGGAGTCGAGGAGGCTCACGACCTTCATCTCAATGCCGTTCTCGCCAAAGCTCTTCAGCAATTTCATCACCTCACTCAGTGTCAGCCACTTACAATCCACATTTTGAATGGAAATAATATAATCCCCTTCCCTGGCGCCTGCCTCCTATAAAAGTGTGGTTTAAACAAAGGTCAATGTTCTGTTCATTCAAATCCCTGAGGCAGTTCCCAAGTTCATTAACAAAATACTAATCTGCATGAGTTTACTTCAAGAAGGCAAAAATTAATCTTTTTCTCTTTTGGAAAGAAAAGGCATGAGAGGCTTTTTACATAAAGCCAGGCCTTTCACAGAGAGGAACCCTAAATTCATTCACCCAGATCTGTTTGGGCAGCTCTCTGTGTATTTTACCATTTCAGCTGCCTGCAAAGATGCCAGTGAGTTTTGCTCCCCGGCTAGAAGGGTCCACACTTACCGCAGCAGAGCTGGATGGATCCAGGAAGTGGACTTGAACTGGGGAGTTCCCTCTCAGGGTGAACCCCAAGTCCCCTCCCTCTGCAGTGAAGTGAATGTTTCGAGGAGGCGTCCATCTCTTGTTAGCCGAGAACACAGATAAAGGGCCCTGTGGAACACAGTGTCATCAGATGTAGGATCTGAAGGCTGAATCGAGCACTTGAAAACTAAAGGAAATGTGGCCTTGTTGTGCTTACAGATTTTATTTGGCCCTGCTCAGAGACCAATGACACTGTCTGGGACAACACATGCACAGCAAGTCATACAAGAACATTTTCTCTAAAAGATGCAATATACTTAAAGTTCTTTTTAAAATTATCTTAATTAAAGTCATATCACATCTCTAATTAAAAAATTTAAAACACCTAAAAATAGCCTTTTACCACCTTGCAACTTATTAAAAAAAAATTGTCCTCTCATGTCATTATGAAATAAATGTTCGACATACCAGCTTTTGGAAGAAGTCCGTTACTGTCACTTTGGAGAACTGGGGCAGTATAATTTCAACCTCTTTCTCAGCTTTAGCTGGAAAAGATTAAAAGTGAAGGCACAAATGTTTCTGTCATTGAAAGTTGTCCTTGAAAACTCAGGTCTAAGTCCATTTGGGTACCTACCATAAGCCATACCCTGCTCTGGGGCTGGGACACAGCAGTGACAATGAGACAAACTGCCTGCCTTTAAGGAGCATATTTATATTCTAGTGGACGTCCTCTGGCACAAATGAAATCCTACCGAGAAGCGACCTACGTTTCAGGTGTGGCTGTTAGGGAAGTAGCATGCTTTCAGCACAAAGTTCTGGGTTGGAGGGGAGGGTATAGCTCAGTGGTAGAGTGCATGCCTAGCGTCCACGAGGTCCTGGGTTCAGTCCCCAGGACCCCCATCAAAAATAAATAAATAAACTTGAATCCCCACCCCACCCTACCAAAGGAAAAAGAAATGTTGGTGCCGATGAAAGATGGAGCAGGATGAAGGATGCAGTTGGCTTTCAAACCATGGAGCCAGAGGTGAAAGACAGAGAGCCAAGCACAGTTTCCCAGAAGGCAGGTGATCTGGGGGAGGGGTGGGTAGTGCAGGAAAAGCCTCAAGGCGAAAGGCAGTTCCAGGGGTCTCCTGACAAGCGGTGATGGCTGGAACCCCAAAGGAGGTTGTGAGACTTTCAGGAAAGGGATATAGAGGAAGCAAACCAGGGAGAGAAGACCCTCAAGAATGCCAGGAAGGGTGGGGGGACCCTGGGCAAGACAGCAAAAAGGGTGGAGGGAAGTGGCAGTAGGACTGGGGCGGCAAGCCCCCAACCCCACAGGAGGGTGTTACGGGGCAGGAGGTGGTCAGCTGCCACCAAGGGGTTGACGAGGACAAAGATCATAATGAAGGTCCTGGATCTGGGAATGAGGAGGTGACAAGTCCAGGGCAAGAGCAGCACGTGGCCCCATCCCAGGGCCTGGCACACAGCGAGCAAATGAGAGCCAGGGGCACTCTGCACCTGGCCCCAGCACCCAGGCCACTCACAGATGATGCTGGGGGCGTCCATCAAGTCCAGCAGGTCATCGTCCTCACGAAGCTGAGTGTACTTGAGCTGGGACCGCTGGTGTGCCGCAGACAGCACCTCTGGCAGCACCTCGATGTTCCGGAGTTTCTTGCACAGGCTTGCCTCTCTCATGGACTCCTCGTGGTGGGTGATGGCTCTGCACAGGTGCGCCTTGCCTACCCACAGAAAATCAACACCATGGGACACCCGTCGTGAACTGCAACAGGAGTACTTCAAGGAGAGCCCGAGTGCCCAAGGGTTAGCCCAGAAAGTGGACGTTCTCGTTCCTGAAGAATCTGCCTGGACGGCTCCAGTCCCTCTTAAATGCATCTGCAATGTGCTCACCTGTGTCTACAATACATTCATTCAGCAAACATTTACGAATGTTCAAGGCACTAGAGATAAAGCAGTAAAGAAAAACCAGCCTCTGCATACACGGAGTTTACATGCTAGTAGTTGAAGACAGATAATTAACAAGCAAAGAAACAGGTGATGGCTCATGTGGCAATAAAGTTCTGGAGAAAAATAAAGCAGCGTAGGTATTCATGGCATGAGAGGATGGGGAAAGGGGAGTTGCCTTGCTATGGTGGGTGATCAGAAAAATCTCTTTTGAAAGGTAATTTTTAAGCAGAGCCCTGAAGTGAAGGAGCGGTCATGAGGATATCTGACAGAGAGCATTCCTAGAAGAACAGCAGCGAGTGCAAAGGCCCTGGGGCAGGAACCTGCCCGAGTGGACAACAAAGAGTTGGGAGTTCAGCTACAGGGAGTGAGGGCTGGAGAGAAGGGTAGGCAACGAGGCCAGAGAGGAGCAAGGGCCAGACCATGTCCAACCACAGAAGTGCAGGTGAGGACTTCTGCTCCTTCTGGGTGAGATGGGAGTCCACAAGGGCTTCTGGCAAAAAGCTAGGCAAGCCATGCAGCCTCTCTGGGCCTCCGTTTCCTTAAATGAAAAACGGGGATCATACCATATGCATCTCTTAGGGTTGTGTGAGGTTTAAGTGAGTCAAGGTTTGTTAAGAAAGCACTACATAAGCATGGCTTGGATCAGGTGGTAGGTAAGAAGTGTTCAGATTTGGGATGTGTTTTCCCAAATCTGCTAATCAAATAGCGGGTGAGAAAGAAAGATGTGGGCAGAGAGTGAGTCCAAAGTTGCTGGCCTGCACACCTAGAGCGATGGATTTACCACCGAGATGGGGAAACTGTGTGGGATCGGGGGCAGGTTTGGGTGGTGGAAGAATTCAGGTTTTCCAATGGAAAGAGATACTCACTCTGAGACTTGTTAGAGACCAAGCCAGGACAATTTATGACCAGTTCGTAGGTATGGCATAAGAAACGCATCCTTCCGGATTAGGATGACCAAGGACCGTCCCCTGGACCACTAGGGTGCTGGAAGACTGCCAAAGCTCTGGCTTGACCATGGGAGGCCTGGTCCCTCATGGGACCTGTGAGGACACAGCCTTGGAAGCCAGCTGAGGCTAGAGGACTACGCCTCAGGGTGTCTGAATCCAGAGTGGCCACAATGACTCAGGAAGCCCTACTGTCAGGGCCCTGCCCTGGGGACCTGTCTGGGGGTGTCCATGAGCAGGAGCTGCTGGGCATCGGATGGGGCACAGGGAGCAGGAGAGCCGACACGCACCCAGCTGTTGGCGCTGGTGAATGTTTTTCAGCGTGGCCAAGGGTGTCAGTCCCTCTGGCATGTGGTCATAGAGCTCGGACAGGCACTTCTCCTGGTGGTCCTCATCTGTGCCAGGCTTCACTGCAATGAGAACCACAGGATACAGCCCTTCTGAGCTCTGGAGACAGCACCACAGACCCACTCAGAGATCCCTCTTTCAATCACATCTGGTTCCCTTCTCCAGCTCTGCAAGGCACGTGGGATAACAGGTCTCCTGTCCATCCCTACACACCCCCAGGCAATCCAGCCCACAGGTCTCTGTGCACGGGGCCTGCCACACGCTAGGGGCTCACAATTTGGCTCTGAGTTCCCACTCTCAACCTCCTCCAAGTCACCCATCCCATGAACCTCCAGGCACAGACCTGCTTCAAGCCTCTGGTGGCCTCTGTGCATGCACCCTCCCTGGCATGTGTGCCCTTAACCTCACCAAACCACGCAACACTTCCAGTCTCCATTCCAGGGCTCACTCAGATCGTGTTCTCATTCTAGCCGTCCTTTCCCTCCCTGTTCAGCTGGAACAGTCCTCCTCAGAGTTCCAAGTCCAACTCAAGTGGCACCACCTCTGAGGAACCATCCATGACTACACCAAGGACTCCAACTGCTGCCTTATTAGTGTTCCTATCACAATGACTGAAGCGCTATGTTTCCACTGGTTTTCATGACTCGTCCCGCCTAATAGATTATATGACACTACCAGCAGCAGCTAACACCCTCAGAGAGTCCATTACATACAAGGCACTGTCTTGCTTCATATATAGGCACTTAGTTTTCACAACAGCCTGTGAGATCGGCTCTATTCACAGCCCCATTTTACAGATGAGAAAATGGAGGCACAGAACAGCTATGTAACTTACCCAAGATCACACAACCAGTAAATGGCAGGGCTGACATATGACCCCAGGCAGTCTGGCCCCAGAGGTTATCCTTTTCGTTACTCTAAGGGCTGCCTTGATTAGCACTAATTGCCAACAAAAGTGCCACCCAACCTCAGATTAGAACCAAGAAGAAGGTGAGGAGAGTGAGGCACTCACTTCAGGCTGAAAGTTTAAGGGGTGCCCCAAACTCAGCAATATTTTAATGCAATCTTCTAAATATCAAAACTAATGCAAAAATATTCATGATGAACAAATCATCAAAATTTCTTTTTGTTTCAGGCTCCAGTGTGGCTCAGGACAGCACTGTTATGAATCTGTGTCTTCATTTAAAATTTTAAGCACTGTGGATTTTTTTTTTGCATTAGTTTTGATTCATCGACAATTATTATGTTAAAGTATTGTCTCGGCTGCTAAGTTTATGGGCATCCCCTTAGGTTTGGTGCCCGAGTCGAATGCCTCACTGGTCCTAGATTCCAAGTGAAACGTCATCCTCGTCAAGCTGTCTGCTCCAACCCAGGCACAATTAACACTACCGCTCTTCCTCCAACAGCAGTAATCCATAACCCCTAATCCCACTCTGTGTGACAGTCACTGGGCCAACATGTAACTCCCACCCTATGCCCCCAGGCTGTGAGCATCTCGAGGACAGGCAGACAGCTCTCAGAATCGCCCAGAGGCAGCAAAACTGCAACCCTGACCAGAGCCCGGCACCCTGAGCGGCCAAGCCTTACGCTGGTGGTCGACGAGGAGGGTGGCTGCAAAGTAGTGGGCGAGGGCTTCGTAGTGGTGGGCCTTCACGCAGGCCAGGCTGGCCCAGGAGTAGGGGATGTTCTCCTTCACCGGCTCCTGGTTCATGGCTGTGTGCAGCTGCTGATAGACCTCTCCCACCTAAAACAGAAGGAACACTGGCAAGGGGGAGCCTGGCACAGGGCCCTTCACGTCCCCAGGCTGCAGAAGAAGAGCCCTTTCTTCTACGCAGCAGCCCCTGCCAGAGGCCACTCCGCAATCTGGGAGTCACTCCAAGGGCTCCTAGTGCTGTCCGTGTCAGAGTGAACAGGGCGATCAGGCCACCGTCATTATGCTGGTTTTTAGGCTAAGCTGCAGATGGAAGCAGTGATCCGTATCTGAAACGCCGTTATTTGCCAAGAAAACGCAAGCTGGCACTCTGGCCAGCCGGGGCGGGCATGCTGCCCAGGTCACGGGCAAGCTGCCGTGGGAAGTCCCCACTGCTTCCAGTGGGCCCACACCAGTGCACCTCGCCCACCCCGCGAGTCACAGGAAGCAGAGAGGCTTACCTTGGCAGCCTCCTGAGCCACCTTCACCAGCACGAAGAACTCGTTCTGGATCCCGGGAAGGCAGACTTTCTCAAACGTGCATTCGTGGGCTTGTGCGAGCATCATTTTGACCAGCACACTGAGCATAGCGGGACTCATGTCGTAACTCGGAGTGTGAGTAAATGTCTCTTTCAAGTAGTTTAAGACTCCTACAAGTGGGAAGGTTTTGCACATTAGTTGGGGATCAGATTTATTCCACCATGCTGCTAAGAAGTATCGAAAATGACAGAAGCAAAAATATATAACTGGTGTCATGAAGCATCTCTAAATAAAAAAAATCTGAATGTCAATTACCATAAGATCCAGCAATTTCTCTCCTAGGTATAACCCGGCAGAGTTGAAATGCAGAGACTTAAACGGATACTTGTACAGGAATGCTCATGGCGGCATTATTCCCAAAAGCCAAAAAAACAACTCAAATGTCCATCAACAGATATGCAGATAAACAAAATGTGGTACATACGTACAATGGAGTATCTTCAGCCTTGAAAAGGCAGTTCTGACACACGCTACAACACGAATGAAGACACTACGCTAAGTGAAATACCAAATACTGTATGATTCTACTGAGATGAAGTGTCTGGAATAGTAAAAATTCATAGAGTCAGGAAGCAGCACGGTGTTTCCCAGGCACTGGAGGGAGGAGGGAATGGAGAGTTAGTGTTCAATAGGCACAGAGTTCCAGTTCGGGATGATGAGAAAGTTCTGGAGACGGGTAATTGCACAACAATGTGAATATACTTATGCCAATGAGCAGTGCTCTAAAAAAGGGTTTAAATGGCAATTTTGTTCTGCGTGTTTTACCATGGTTAGAAAACAAAAACCCAATTCTCCTCCAAAACATTTATATCTGTATCAGGCAGGGAAACCAGCCTGCTACCCGTCCATTCCTGTCTCACCCGGGACACTTGTGAGAAATTCCACACGTGACTAGGCATTTGATGGAGGTGAAAGCAGAGGGCAGGGAGACAGGAGGACTGAAGGGCTCTCAGTGGGGACACACTCACATTTAACCCCTGGGTCACTGAGAAATCCAGAGCTTCTCCCCCAGGACCTCAAGAAGGATCAACTCAGCCACTCCAGCAGAAATTTTCATGCTGTAGACCTCAGCTGACTTTTTTATATGATAGAAAACTGTCACAGCATTAACCAACAATGAACCTGGAGCTGAAATAAAATCTCCAGCATGAATCCCATCTGACTGGTTCCTCTGGTTTGGCTGCAAACCATAAACTGCCCTGCAGAAGGATGGCAGTGGCTGCAGGCAGGTTCCTCCCCTTTGGGATCCACTCCTAGTCTCTTCTCAAGCTTCATTTTTGCCCATATCTCTGTCATCTTGGAGACGGGTCACCACGAGTATCTGCTTAAGATTCCTCAAGAGAGAAAGATGAGCCCAGAACAGGATTTACATGAAAGAGATCGGCTCCCACGTGGAATTTCGGTATGTCGCTTCATCCCAAGGGATCAAGCATTTTTAACCAAGCAATTCCATGATTAGCCAATATGGCAAAGCTGTGGTTCTTCATGGGCTCGTAGAGCAAAGTGAGATACCCCAAAAGGTTTTCTGTGGAGCGGAGAGGTGGGGGTGGGGGGAACACCCGGAAGCAGAGTGAGGAAGACCGGCACAGAGGGAAACTGAGCAATCAGCTCAGGCATCACGCTGTGGTGTGCACTGTGCCGCTGCGTGTGCCCACATTCCCCGTGCAGAGACTGCTGGACACAGTACTCCTACTAGAGGGGAGTAGGACCCACGAGACAGGCCTGCCCACTGCACCCAGCCTGGCAGCTCCCAGTCCTCTATAGGCTGGTACCAAGTGTCACTGGACGGGGCTGAGACAAGCAACCTCGGATGAGTAAGCTTTGCAGAAGGAGCACAACAGAAAGGTACAGAGAGTCATATGTATGCCCGATGGAAGGGAAAAAGAAAAAGCCTACATTCTCGCTGTTGGAGAAAACTTATTCTCATCTTCAAAATAAGGTTCAAAGCAACAGTTCATTCACTGCCATCTGTGGGGCCACTCATTTGGAAAAGATTAATTATTAACCACTGTGTACACAAGTCACACTCAGACGGAGGCGACAGAGTCTGAGCCCACAAGCAATTTTCTGGGTGAGAAGATGACCCTTTCATGCTCATGAGACCAAGGGTGGGCCTGGGAAGGACCCGAAGACCTTCTTCAGCTGGGGTACCAGTCCCACCTGGCTGGGCCAGGTCTCTATCCCCTGCAGCCCCCGCAGAGACATACCTGCGGCTCTCTGAAAGGCATCCACTGCACTCTCCAGCCCAGCTTCTGTCTGTCGGTTGCACCGGGTCCCGATCTGTGTGTAGAGGGCTCCAATATTAAACAGAACGCTGGCCTTCTCCAGCAGCAAGTTCTGTTGGCTAACCGGAACCCCAGTGAGAGAGTCATACCTATTGAAAAGAAACATGTTTTGAGAATATGGAATCCTTGGCTAGTTAATGCCACGTAGGGGTGAAAATGGACAAAATTTATTTCTTGAATAAAATCAAAGATGCACATGCAATGAGGCTTTCATTTCCAAGCAAGATGATGGGTCTATCTGAATAAAGACATCCACAATCACACACAAAAATAAGGCTTGAAGGCCAAGATGTCCTTCCATAGGTGAATGGGTAAACACACTGTGGTATATCCATACAGTGGAAAATTATGCAGCACTAAAAAGCTATGAGTTATCATGTGCAATATACTGTATACATGTATTTACATGCAATATAATGTGTATGTGCAGTCAGACTGTAATAATTCTACCTAATAAAACTGAAAAAAGAAAAAAAAAAGAAATGGGAAAAAAAAAAGCTATGAGCTATCAAAGCCATGAAAAGACATGGAGGAACCTTAAATGCATTCCTACTAAGTGAAAGAAGCCAATCTGGAAAGACTGCATACTGTATGATTCCAACTACATGACATTCTGGAAAAGACAAAAACAATGAAAGCACAAAGAATCAGTGGTTTCCAGGGTTAGGGATTGTAGGACAGTGCAAAAAACTACTCTTTATGATACTATAGTATGAATACATGTTATTATACGTTTGTCCAAGCCCATGAAATGTACACCACCAAGGGTGAACCCTAATGTAAAAGATGGACTTTGGGTGATGGTGTGCCAATGTAGGCTCATCGGTTGTAACATATGTGCCACTCTGGTGGGGGATGTCAAAGTGGGGGAGGTTCTGAGTGTGCAGCGGGGGCAGGGGGAATACGGGAAATCCCGTGTAACCTTTCCTTCAATTTTGCTGTGAACTCAAAACTGCTCTAAAAAATGAAGTGTATCTTAAAAATATAAGGCTTCTCCTAAGTGAAATACAGCTATCACTAACCTCTCCGAATTCTTCCTGAAGTCTAAAACACGCGGGACATGTTTTAAAGTTCCCACACCAAGCAGGGGGTAGACATGGGGCTTCTTCCTAACCAACACGAAGGAGGAATCACGTCTGGCCCTTTCACCCACGTGCAGGCAGCGAATGCATCTTTAGGAAAAGATATATACTCTTCCTTTCAAAAGGAAAGCCTCAGTAGCCACCCGCCACGGTGAACTTTAATTCTGAATATGCCTCTTACCTCTTGGGATTTATTCTTTTACTCTTTTATGTTTGATAGTTTCTGGCGGGGAGACGGGGAGGTAATTAGGTTTATTTATTTATTTGTATAATGGAGGCACTAGGGATTGAACCCAGGACCTCGTGCATGCTAGGCATGTGTTCTACCACTAAGCTATATCCCCACTCTCCTACCCCGCTACCCTTTTACTATTTTTTTTCGCCACACTGCTAAGCAAACTCAGAGAAGAGGTACAGCATCTCCAAATGTTTAATCAACATTAATCGTTGAAAAATACCAACTCTGGGGAAGACTCAAAGGAGCTTCTTCAGTTTTTAAAATCTGATCTATTTGCTTGCTGCCCTCGTCACTGGGACAAACCCTGATTCCCAGCCCGCAGCCCATCTGGGACGAGAATCTTGCTTCTCGTTAGTTCCACCTCAGAGCCCCAGTGTTTCCCCCAAGATAATATAAGCATGAAAAAAAAAAAAAACTCTTCTCCTCGGCTCGCTGGCTCTGAGAAGTCAGAAACTACGGTCTGTGGGCGCCTCCCCTCCGTGGAACTCCGTTATAAATAAACATGGGTTTCTCCACACGTGTCTGGGCTCCCCTGCATTCATGGGGCAATTAGGAGGAGGGGCGGCAGTGCAGAGGAGGGGTGGGAAAGCAGCAGCCCCCCGCACCTACCATGTAAACAGGATCCCCATCTGTCGGGTGGGCGGGAAGAATCGGCTCTCGACAAAACCCAGCTGGATGAAGTAACTCATCAGCAGCTCGACCCCGGCCTCACTGCGACTGGGCGTCCGACAGGCCTGAGAGGAAAGGAACCACCCAGAGGGTGAGCGGGGAGCCACAGCAGACCGGCCCGCCCCCAGGAAGATGCTAACACACGCTATTTCTCTGGAGCCTGGGCCCCGCTACTGGTATCATAAACTCCGGGGGAGGTGGAAAAGGCTGGGATGAACTCAGAAGTCCTGGAACCCAGCTCCCGTGCATGTCTGTCTCGTCTTATTACATGGCAAGTTGACTGGATGGTTCCAACAGCCCCTCCCTATCAACTCTGACCCCGACCATCAGCGACTCCTTAAGACTTCAAGGGATCCTGTCTTGGATGATGGGACCCTCTGAAGACTCAGTGAGCTCCGGCAGCCATCCTCCTGCCCTGCCCTGCACAGAAACGTACTTGTCTCAGATCCATGAGGTCTGCTATTTCATCTTCATAGAGGTAGCTGTCTTCACTGTAATGCTCCAGAATAAAATCCTGTAAGAAAAATGAGACGCTGTAAGGTGTGATTCAAAACCATAAACAGGCAAAAGAGTAAGGTACCCCCTCCCCTTAAAAATACACGTAGAATTCATAAAAACTTATGAGAGATTGTAGGCTACAGTGATTTTTCTGAGTGGTGGGATTTATTTTCTTGACTTTATCTATGTGTATTTTAAAACGTTGCTTTTGTCGCTTCAGTTAAGAGGGAAGTTGAAGTTATTTCTTATTTTAAAATGTCTTGGTATAGCACAGCGAACTGTATTCAATATCCCGTAGTAACCTATAATGAAAAAGAATATGAAAACGAATACATGTGTGTATATGTATAACTGAAACATTGTGCTGTATGCCAGAAATTGACACAACATTGTAAACTGACTACACTTCAATTAAAAAAAAATTTTTTTTAAAGTTGGGGTGGGTATAGCTGAGTAGTAGACAGCATGCTTAGCATGCACGAGATCCTGGATTCAATCCCAGTACCTCTATCAAAAATAAATACATACATACATACTTACATACATACATACATACATACATACATACATACATACATGCATGCCTTGGCAGCCCAGTTACGTGAGTTGTGTAAGTGACTATAAGTTAAATAATTCTGGCAAACATCACGGATACTCGGGGGCTCAGAACTTCATCCTTTGGGCTGCCCTCGGTACCAGGAAGACCATGGGGTCTTTCTAGCAAAGGAAATTCATGCCAGGGTCTGTGATGGGAACCTTTGTGAGAGCAGCTCTGGGCATGTCCCAAAGCACCCCTGTAAGGACCCCCCCGCCTCCTCAACTAGGTGTTTGAGGACCACCCCGTGAGTTCATTCAGTCACAGGATACATTGATGAGCACCAGGCACTGGTCACAGTGCTGGGGCTACTAAGTGAACAAAACAAGCATCTTTCCCCTTGGAGCTTATCATCCCACAAGGGATACGTGGGCAATACGTAACAGGCACAACGAAGAAGTAAATTATATATATATATATATATATATATATATATATATATAAATCGTATATAGGAAGATGGCAAGCATTACAGGAAGAAAATAAGAGGAGAAGAAAGAGTCTGGAGAATGGATTCTTGCATGACGTTCTCCTTAGTGCTGGCTCTCCCTGGCTGCAAGAGAGTTGAGAGGAGAGAGATTGTTCAGCTACGTTTTCTTAAGTGTCTCTGAGTATTCCCTTTACATACCTTCTACATTAAAGTCCCTTCTGCTTTTTACATGTTCAGTGAAGATCCATATACACATATACCTGTCCAGTTACAAAAATGGGATTGTATTGAATGAACTTTGCTTTGATTTTTTTTTCTTGAATTGGCAACATATCAAATGTTTTCATATGTCACAAGATACTCTACAACACAACTTTTAATGGTTATATAATCCTCCAGAGGAATGGATGTACAATTCATTTATCCACTGCTGGAGCACCTACTATGTGTGTGCTAGCCAAGGTGTACCATGATATTCTTAACCCTTTCCTTAGCATTTAAGTCATTTGTAAGTTTTTGTGATTAAAGATTCATCCTTGTGCACGCCTCTGATTAGTTCCCCAGAACACATCTTCAGAAGACGTTTCGCTGAGTCCAAGGATATGCAGAAAGCTCCTTCTGTTTTTTAATCTAGTCATTTTTATCCAACTTTTCCCTTCATTCTATGATGCCGTTACAGATTTTCTTTATGACTTTAAGTGCTGATGTTCGAAATCAGCTCCTCTACTACTATAATGACACAGTGTAGAATCTGAAATGGTTTTC